TACACTACATGACTTCCTTGTACAGAATATGAAATTATAAGCATTTTTGCTTCATTTCATTTAAACGCATTTTCTTGAATTTTATTACAGACATATTTTTCATTCAATCAATTCAATTCTCACTTCGGAACAAGGCAAAAATATATAAAACTTCAAAATATCTTCATTAAAAACTGAAAGGTATAGAAAAACATAAAACACTAAATACAGTTAAAACAAAAACAACAACAACAAAAAAAAAAAATTACAGTTGCAATTACAGGTTCTACGCAAAAGCAATCAATTCAGCCAGCAGGCAAGAAGCCAGACTTTTTTGCACAAAACTGAGTTTCCTTTTGGTCCGCCTAGGCAAAAAGATACTGAAGGTTTAGAAACTGATTTAATTCACAAATCTGCTAACTTTGAAATGCGAACAAATGTGGCTGCTATGGTAAAACAAAATTAGGCTTAGGCGCGCTTACAAAATTTTATATTGTTGATAATTCTATAACTACTGCATGCAGATTATTTAAAGGCATAAAAACCTTAACCGAAAGATAAGAACAATATAATTTAATCATTTTTAAAGCGAAAAGTGCACAATTTACAAACATAGAATAAGAATAAAGAAACTGAGATTACCGAGCCGAGTAACATAGTGGATATATATATATATATACATGTTTATATGCTTTTGGTGCGGCCGATTGTAACTAAAAAGGTAGGTGCATATCTACATTTATAGCAGCCCCACATACAAATTTTCAACTTTCTGAAGCTATTCGTTTTGAGTTAGAGTTACATGCACACATACGTACAGACCCCACGAAAAAAAAATCTCTTCTGAATACTTTTTAAATTAGTTTTATAATTCGTTTGAGGGAAAATAGTCCTTTATTTTATCCTTACGTACAGATGACTCGCAAAAATGTATATTGCATTCGATAGCGGTCAAAATGGATATTTTTGTTGAAATATCAGATCAGAAATTGTTCGTGATTTCAAAACTCCCTTTATTTCGTACAAGGAAGTAAAAATAAATATAGGATCTAAGCATTAATATAATTATATGGTTTTGTTTTCAAAATGCCCTTCTGAAACTCACATCCGTCAGATATTTTAACTTAATATGAAAGTTATGTTTAGTGTGTTCTTTAACTTTTAAGTTACAAAATACTAAGTTTTGCCTAGAAGTAAGATGTTTAGACCATTTTATTAGCTTTTAAAGAAAACACATTATTCGTACAAATTCAAATTTCAGTTAAATTAGTGTTTACGAAATAATAATTCAAAGATTTTCCCAAACTGAAGGGTACTTTTATAAGCAAAAAATACTGATTTTGCAAAATTTATACTTTTAAACGACGAAAGATTAAAACGCGCCTAACGTTTTAAAATTAGAAATTTTTATATAATTCTTCCTGAGAAGGGAATCCAATCTATGCAATTTAGTAATCATATTAAAGCTACACATGCGACTTATTCATAAATTACTGACGCTTCAAAAGGCGAAGTACAAAAAGTTCTTTTACCCCATCAAGTGGCTTAAAAGAGAGCTAACCAAAAGCTACTAGATGCAAAAATAATTCTGTAATTTTAACTGAATTTCAAAAATGCTTTAATCAAATAAATTCTGAATGATACAAAATCCAATTATCAACCTGAGATAATTTAAATTTAATGTTTTCACTCGATATGTTTTGTCAAAGCTTCATAGAAGGAAGTTTCATCAAATTCTTTCAATAACTGATTTAAAATTCTAAACTTTTATTAGAAAATGCAATGGAAATGCTTGGCATGGAAATTACTCTGAATGTGCGTGTGGTGGTTGAACTTGGATTATGTACAAGTTCTCTGATTACACTTTGTGGTATAGAAAGATAAGAATGAAGGAAGTAGTTTGTCTGTTAAAGAAATTCAGCAAGTCAGATATGTTTTTTGTCTAGAGACTACGAAAGAATTTCCGTCTAAAATTTGAAATAGAAGATAGGGTACCTTTGAAACACTTTTGAAACACTGTGGAAAGGAATTTGATAGGTAAAATCATTGGAACTGACAAGAACAATAAGACATTCGTTTTTTTCTCCCCTCCCAAAAAGAAACTTTTATTGGCGAAATTACATTTTTTAAAAATTTTCATCATCGCATTTTACGTTACACGCAGTGATCAGATCTTATTATCAGATTATTATTGTCGTCAATACGTAAATATAATGTTTATTGCATATCATGAATTAGTGTTATTTCACATATATTATCAGGGATTTAGCGTCTTGTGAATTTAACAAACTATATGGAATCCCAAGCGAATCGTTAAATCCATATTAGCCTGTATACGAGAATATTCTGCAGGCATGTCCGCCTTTTATCATGTGAATACTTTTAATACGACTAAACATACAACGGACATCTCCCTGAGACATGGAATGTCTTTGCGGAGAGTTAATTCAAAATTCATAAAGATTTGCCTTGTATTTATATTACACGTGGTAAAACCTTTTTCTCCTGAGGTTCGAATCCAGATGGAACACCCAGTGTTTAACTGTTTTAAACGTTCGGCCTGTAATGGCCACAATGTGTCTTGAGGCATGCTTATAAAAAGTAATATTTTCTGATACGCGAGGATATTTTAAATTAGAGTCAATATGATGTCAGAAGTCTTTTAAAAAATTAATTTAAATTACGTGTATACTACTTAGTCCTGCACTGCATATGTCAATTTTTGAGCGCTAATGTATACTTCAAAAGACTTTTATAACGATCTTTTATATCTATAGCAATATAATAAGCACATCGTTATGACTAATAGCACCACTTGACTTCTGCAGTTATAATAGCTTTGGGAAAGACATACTAAATAAATGGACACTTCCATTTCGTTAATTTAACAAAATAGCACTTAAATAAGGCTTTCTAAAGCGCACTTAAATAGCACAAAATAGCGACTAACACTATAGAGATAGGAGATAAAAATAGCGGTTAGAGATTTAAAAAAATCTGAAAGATTCCAGATTTTATATTAAGCCCAAAAGGCATTTTTGTTAACGTTTCGTGTGTTGCTTTTATTCATTAAATATCATGTTCTTCGCACTTAAACCATAAAATTCAATTCAATAGCAATATCGCAAAGTAATTTTAAAATTAACATATCTTTAGAATGTCCGATACGCAGTCTCGCGCGCTGGGGATAAAACTGTTTTATTTTCATATAGTGTTGCCATTGCTCGCTTTCAAATCGTTGAGTTTCTTAATCAAAAACTAATAAATGCTGTACAAAATATGAAATAGATAATAAAACTAATCCAAATTGTGAATTTGGGCTTCCAGATGCACATACTCGGGTGGAGACGTACGTTATTCAAAATTGGATGGCTCTAGGTATCGTTGTTTTATCACAATGCGAGAAACATACATACGTTTATGCATATTCTTTATTATTTAACTTCTATAAACATAATACAGGGCTTTATTATTTGGTGGCAACAATTTAAAAAGTGATTCGCCGTTTATAGTGAACCAACGCAAAATGCCAAAATGAAATTAAAAGCCTTTCTGGGCAAATGGCCCCTTTGGGCTAAAAACGGAAGCAAATTTCGTCCGTTATATTGCAAAATGATTTTACCTGACCTCATGTTATTTGAATATGGGAAATCACATGAGAATTGTCTACTGGAGGAAGACAAGTGGAAGGCTTTGTAAGGAAAAACATGTGTAATTGATATTACACAAGGTGAAAGCTATGATGACGGCCGATTCATCTGGTTTCGAACCTGTGATGAAGTACTATTATTCAGAGATCTTAACTCTTTCCAGCACGCTACATTTTAAAGTCGGAGTTTTGATTAAAAAAAAAAAAAAAAAAAAAAAAGGTAGGCAGTCTAATTAGGCCTAGAGAATAACACAAGTAAAATTTTGTGAAGCTTATCGCTTATTTCTGTGGGTGTGCCCGAAAAGGGCACACTGATTGAATGGAGCTTCGAAAAGAGTGTTGAAACGAGCATTGTTGTCAATGAACTTACCGATGAGTACCGAACCAAACCGAAGATTACCGAAGATTAACCGAACTTACCGAAGATTTCAAGGTAAATATTTAGAACTAATATAGGATAAGGAGATTAGCATACAGCCAAAAAAATAACATAGGAATTTCTTTTCAAACAATTCCTTTTATACTCTAAAAAAACTGGAAACTTTCTTTGAAAAATGAGGGTCTTAAAAAACTAAACCTGGCTAAAATATATGGACTGGTTTGTGTTGAGCTGCCATCTACTATAAATGAAGAAGGTTCAGAGTAACCTATAGTAACCTAAAAATCTTTTTTCATTCAATTTTTATGTTCGTACAGAAGGAAATTTTTATGTGTGTCCAGACCGCATACAATGTGCCGCAAAGGGTTAACCAGTCGCTCACTGGTGTTCTGGCCCTAACCCCATTAGGAGAAAGCCTTAATCGAAAATGTAATAAAATATGATTTGGATTTCTTTTTCTGGTAGTAGAAAACCTCTCTGCAGTGCAATAGTCTGTAATATAATTGCTTCGTTAATATAAATACATGGAGCGGTCAATATTACTCAAAACGCATAAGTATTCTGCTTGATTCTTTTTATCTTTGGTTTCACAATATAGTGGGAAGTAAACATGTGTTTCAAAATGTTAGAAAACTTACAGCCCCAACAAAAACCTCAATTATGTAGTTATAAAATATTTATGAATAGAAGATATGCATTTTGAAACGAAAATATCGGTACACCATACTATTAAGTGCAATTAATCCATTCTTCAGTGGATGCTGAATGCTAAATGTGGTCCTAATAGAATAATTTAAACACTTGATTGCGCCGTTCAAATTAATATTTTCACTTGAGAAATATATTTAACTCTTTCAAAACAATGACAGTATATACAGACACACTGGGAGAAATATAATTGACTGGAAAAACCCCAACGAAAACTTCCAAATCATTAAAATATCCAATAGCGTGCTTTGCGTTTAAGGAAAAACTCCTGGTTCAAAGACGTACCTGCTCTATGCAACAGGAGCGGAACTCTTGGCTGGAATCCTCTTCCCCATCCATGGCAATGCCACTCGTGGATCTCTATCCAAAACTTCGGTGAATGAAAACTCCTATTTTCAGGAAAGTAGTCCGATTGTGACTGGCTAAAGCGTAAGACGGAGAAGCACTGGCTGTGGTAGCAGCGCCACAGATGCGGACGGCTTTTTCGAGGTTCAAAAATCGATAGCGCAACCCAGACCTTGATCTCGTTAGGTGTGTTCGTTTGAACGCGGGCTTCTCGTTTGTATCTGTGTGCTTAGGAAAGATTGCGGGGCTAAAGGATGGAGATTCTACTCCTTTGGATACATGTGATCGATTGTTGCCTACCTTTTCTTCCTCGAGTACAGCAAAATACAGTGCAGAATAAATTCCTTGAAATACAATGCGTTACATATTTCCAAATATACTTGATATTCAAAATGCATATCACCTCCCATGATCGAGTGTTGAGTTTAGTTTCTATTTGAAGTTTTTTTAATAAATTTTCCAATAGCTTATGTAATTGACTAGTAGTATTGGTACAGCAAGATAACTGTGTCGGATATCAGTTACTGAGGTCTACTGTAACACATTTTAGATAAGGTTTATTATGTTAGATTCTTATTAATTGTCTAAAAGCGCACTCTTGATTTATTTCTTGATATTTTTAAATTCCAGTTTCAACTCCTCATCTTTCACAAAGTACCACGACGCTCACAGAAGTAAGTCATATCACATGCAAAATAAGTAAACAAATGTACAATAGTACGGCAAATGGGACACAATAGCAAATATATATATATATATATATAATAATAATAATAATAAACAAACTAAAAGAATGAATATATAAAATTTGAAAACTTTCAAATTTTACGTTACACTCAAAATGGCGTTTCTTTTTTCATTTACACACACATACAAGTTTCGACAGCACTTGTGTTACTGCCTTTTGGGTTAAAAATAGTTAAAGACAACAAGCATATCTTTCGCACATCCGATAGATCGTCTTGCACGCTGGAGATAATTTTTTTCAGTACATTGTATTGTCCTTGCTCATTTTGAATTATTCACTTTGTTAATCGAAAATTTATTAAAGCTTTAAATTATAAGAAATAGACAATCAACCAAATTTTTAAATTTCAAACTCAGCCTTCCCTGTGCGAAATTCGGGTGGAGGCCTACGTTATACAAAATTAGATGTTTCTAGGCACCCTTGTTTTTTCACAGTGCGAGAAACATGCATACGGTCATGCAGATTACTCATTAATTTATTTCTTTAAATGTAATATAGGGCAATAATATTTGCTGTCAACAAGTTGAAAAGTGAATGGTACATTTATGGTGAACCGACGCAAAATGCCATTTCGAGACTAATCGGCCATCTGTGTCAACGCCCCTCTGTGGCTATTAATAAAAGAATCTGAAAACTTTCAGATTTTCAGATATTTTCAGAAAGGGGCGTTTTTTTAACGTTTGTGTGTTGCCTTTATTTATTAAATATTATGTTTTCCTCACTTAAATCATAAAATTCAGTTTAAGAGCGTATCACAAAATGACTTTAAAAGAGCATAACTTTATAATTTCCTATACACAGTCTTGCGCGCTGAAGATAAAAATGTCATTTTTTTCCCGCACAGTGTTGCCATTGGTCGCTTTGAAATCATCGATTTTCTCAATCGAAAATTCGTTAACGTTTTCCAAAATATGAAATATATAATTAAAGAAATTCCAAATTCTAGCTTCCAGATGGCTCTATTTGATTGGAGAATAAGGTTATTCAAAATTGGATGCCTCTAGGTACTCATTATTTAATTTTCCTAAAAAATATAACACAGGGCGATAATATTTGGTGGCAACAAATTCAAAAGCGATATGCCGTTTATAGTGATTCAGGGCAAAATGCCAAAACGAAATTAATAGCCCCTCTGGCTATTAATTTCAGTACATTGTATTGAGTACATTCAGTACATTGTATTTCAGTACATTCAGTATTGTATTCAGTACATTGTATTTCAGTACATTGTATCTAAATTGAGAACGCAATTCAGAGAGGCATAAATTGTCGCTTAAATCTGAAAACGTTCAGAAAAAACTAGTGGTCGAGTGATTAAAAGTTGTCTGTAGTATTTTCTGTACTGGATATGATGAACGCACTCAACAAGAATATACTGAACATATTCATCGTCGCTACAGCAGCGGCGCAAACACTTGAAGCAATTTCCGACTCGCTTTAAATAGCTCTTCAAAACTGCCATGTCAGCTCAAAAATTGAGTTACTACAAAATCTGTTTAAAGTTGATCAACTTTTATTCTGTTAAAAACTGTAGGAAAACATTTTTGGTCCATTGTGCTTTTGGTGAGGCCAGACATTCTCTGTTCCAAATGCAGATTAGCATCATTTCTATAAAAGCAGTTCCAGTAAGAAATTGGAAAGTGGAGATTTAAATCAATGGGAAGTTTCGTGGCTAGCTTTGCTACTGTATCAGCCCTCTCATTACTAAACTTTTCATTGTGCCCACGAGCGTAAACATAATAAATATCGATATCAAGTTTGAGGGAGGTCTTAATGTGCTTCCCCCCCCCCCCCCCCTCCCCCCCCCCCCCCCCCCCCCCATCCCCCCCCCCCCCCCACCCCCCCCCCCCCCCCCCCCCCCCCCCCCCCCCCCCCCCCCATGTAACCTGGATTTCAACAGCCAGTATCTCTGGAACACTAATGTGCAGTAATAGTTGTAACGAAGAAAACGAATGACTACATATTAAAACGCGCATTGATTTAAAACCACTGCAACAATTTTGAATCCATTTCACAGCAAGGTTTAAGCATAGCCACTCAGCCTGAGAAGCAGAGTACTTATCACTAATTCTGTACTGTTTGAAGTCTCTTTTTTGTATATTTTCACAAACAACAAAAGCAAGGTCAACATTATCATTCATCCGACTTCCGTTATAAGGTATTTTTCCGCGTTCTTGGCATGCGTTCGTGGTGTGGTGGTCTGCACGGTGGGCACGTATTCCAGTTCCAGGTGAAGGCTTGCTAATTTTTCATCTTTCCTGCTTACAAAAAAAAAAAAAAAAAAAAAAAAACCTAATGTTCCTACAAGTGGCGCCCGAACTAAAAGGGTGGCGGATGATGTTTCTCCACACCCAGGATTTGGTGACTGGTTTACCTAAAAAACCCAGTCAGCCTTTGAAAGGGGGAGTATATAAAGTATTTCTCCCGCCTTCTTGGCATGTGTTCATGGTGTGGTGGTCTTCACGCTGGGCGCGTATTCCAGAGGTTCGTGGTTCGATTCTCGGCAAAGGCGTTCGCTGATTTTTCATCTCTCCGGTACCGAAATAACCTAATGTCTCTACACCGTCTGTAAATCAAATTAATTTTAGTCTTTACTGTACTGTTTCTGTAACCACATATGTAATCCACCAACTTATGTGAAACAATTGCCCCTGTATGGCCTTGTAAACCTTTCTTAAATCTTATATAAACTCCCGGTGCGGCCTTGTGCGGCTCCAGGAAGTTGTTGCCTCTGGATAGTGGAGGACGCGGGACATTTACCTCTTTTAAACACTAGGCGTCCCCGTCCTCCGTCACCTGTCACCTGTACTGTTTCTGTGATATATTCTTCACATATTTTTTCTATTTATGTGATTGTAATATACATTTTCTAAACAATTGTTTCATGGAAAAACATTTGAAAAATGCCAAGATCTCTCCCCATAGACGAACTTCTTATTGGTAATTTCGCTTGTTGTTACAATAAGTATGCAGATGAGTATTGACTATTTTTTAAATAAAAGCATTTCTAGACATTCAGTTAAAATAAGGATTAGGGTTAACAATACAAAATAACTTTGAGATAAAAATATTTTTATACTAACTGTGTTAAGTTAGATTGAGAGCAATACATCTAACAACAGAGATCTAATAACGATGCAAAAAGTAAGATTCATAGTCATACATTTTACGGTCTGACGCGATATGGAACCCACATAAAAAATTTTCATAGAAAAATAAACTAATTCTCTCTCATTATATCGGCAACAATGGCATGCAGTTTTTAATAAGTTTTGTCTTTATAATCAAATGGGCGTAAGAGCTCAAGTTCTATCCAATATTTCACCTATATTCAATTGTAGTCGATTAAATGTGGCAAAAAATGGAACATAATTGATCAGAAATCAATTACGCGAACAAGCAAACAAATACACAAACATACATTCTGATTTGAACTGCAGTTTCAGATGTGATGGTTAAAATAAATGTTACGCGGGGATGACGCGATGAACACTCGTTACTATCGCAAATGGAATGCGATGCCAATACCCCTGAAGTGTATATTTTAAAGAAACAGTTTACAGTTTTGTTAACACACGTGAAACTCAGCGTCGGTCAGCAAAAGCCAGCCGCAGTCTAAGCAGAATAGGCTTGGCGTTTAACGTATTAAAAACATTATAATTTTTTTTTTCCTTTTCATAGTAAATGTTTTAAATGGTTGACAGTGCCAGCGGTTAATTATTTGAAAAGCGACACGGATAACAAAAGAGATTCGACACTATTATTCCGAAGTTCCAGAATAGCAATCTTTATGAGTTAGAAAATGCATGAAAATTCTTAACACTGTACCGGGAATTCTAAAGCTGCACATGCACAAAAGGTTCTTAAACATTTTGTGCATGTGAAGGTAAAGTGATGTTCTTTGTAGAGACATTAGTACATTTTTGGAAGCAGGCAAGACGAAAAATGAGCAATCGCCTTCTTCGGGAATCGAACCACGGACCTCTGGAATACCACCTCAACCTGCACTACACCACGAAAGCACGCTAGGAAGCGGGAGAAATACCTTATATGCTCTCCCCTTTAAAAGGGCGACTGGGGTTTTTAGGGGACTCAATCGCCAAATCCTGGGTGGGGAGAAATCCTAAACCACCACCCTTTTAGTTCGGGCCCCACTGTAAGACATTAGGATTTTTTGGAAGCCAGACGATATGAAAAGCGAGCAATCGCCTTTGCCGGGAATAGAACCACGTACCTCTGGAATACTGGCCCAGCGTGCAGAAGCAATACACTACGAAGGCACACTAGGAAAGCGGGAGAAATGCCTTATATCTTTATTG